TATGGAGGATTGAAGACGGAAATTTCAAAGAAATTCTAGAGATCTTTATTGGCGTAGCAGCACGTGCCGTTTCGAATAATTTGTGTTTTACCCTGTAACTTTTTCTCGTGGGATCGAACATATAATCCCACTTAGCGATTTGCAATCATGACAACCTCTTTAGTATACCCCCTTTAATCGGTCCGATTCGGGGGCGGTTTGAAACTAAAACCACCTCGACGATCTTGATCTCCTTCCTTGAGATACGGCCAAGGCACGGACACGCAACGCCACTAATTAACAATCACTCCACTAATTAAAGTGCTCTAATTAAAGGTTCAAACTAATCCTTTTTCCAGCCGCCAAACAACTTTTTTCAGATATTGAACCAAAAAAAAAAAAAAGAACCTTTTTTTATTTTTGCTAAAAGAAGAAAAAAAAAAGGAACTTGGCACTATCTATCGTTTGTACTTTGTCATGTGCTCTGAGTGGTCGGGACTCGGGAGTTTGACGTGTCACTAAGGGTAAATTAGTCTTTTCAAGACCGTGCGCACTTTATCCCCCTTTTTTTTTTGCCCTTTCTTAAGAACGTAACAAATATATTATAAAAAAGAAAAATGGCACAAATGATTTTTGAATGTCGGGAAAATGACACAAAGTGTCCCTGAATTTTAGCTCAATATGCAATGTGGTCCACAAAATTTTAATTGTTCAATGTGGCTCATGAAATTTTTAATTTGTTTAATGTCGTTACTGACTTTTAGTACATGTTCAATTTCGTCGCTTAACTATGTGAAAACTTTTAGTATATCGAACATTTTCACATAGTTCAGGGAATACATTGAACATGTACAAAAAATTCAGTGACCATATTGAACAAATTAAAGGTTCATGGATCATATTGAACATCAGGTTAAAGTTCAGGGACTATATTGAACAAATTAAAAGTTCAGAAACCACATTGTAGATTGAGCTAAAGTCCATGGACTGTTTATGTCATTATCCCTTGAATGTTGATTCAATTTATAATATCGTCTCTGGACTTTTAATTTATCTAGTGCGGTCTCTAAACTATTGATAAATGTTCAATATAACACCTACATTATTTGAAAAATGTTCAATGATGTTCTTCTATTGATCCAAGTTAACAGAATCTACTGATGTGATTTCCAATCCGTTAAGGTCGAACGGCGGACAACAGAAAAAAGCTATACGTGGATTATCCAAGTAAGATATTCATCTTAAATTGGGATATAGTAATCCGCGTCAATAGATAGCGTTGGACATGTTAATGCCCTAATTTTTTTTAATTTTCTAAAGTAGACGGATAAAAAGATGGACATGTTAACTTATCATTTTAAAAATCCAACTCAGTCATCAAATAATGTCCCGGAGGGACTAGATTGAATTTTACCAATAGCTCAAGGATAACATCGAACAAATTAAAGGTTCATGGATGAAATTAGACACGAGGTAAAAGATCAGGGACCATTCGCGTCGTTTTCTCGTTATAATAAAAAAACCACCTTTGATTTTTTCCAAAATTATTTGAGTTGCAGATTGAGACGTACAAGACAAAATTTGTGTCGTTGAGGAAAGGCAGCATTTAATAAGAAAATACAAAAAAATAAACAAACGGAGCCCTCACTTATATATCAATGCTTATCCATAATCATAATTTATTTAGAGTAAGCAGCCTATATTATCTTCAAAATACATGATAATCCACTAACCTTTTGCAATGTAATTACTAAAATGCCACGCGATCGCATCATCCATGACGCCACTATTTGACTTTTTTTTTCCCCTATACTTTTTCGTCTGCCCTTTTTAATGCATGTCTTATTTATTCCCCTCATATTTTTGTTGCAAAATATTTTTTGTCTCTTTCCTTCTTGGAAATTAAAATAGTTTTTCCCAATTGACTAAACTATCAGTGACGTCATGCAAAGCTAGACTTCGTATTTGAGGGGGAGTGAGCAAATTTTGTGGAATCTCACATTAGAGGAGGTGAATCACAGGAAATTTGCACGATATTTAAATAAATTATAGCACGTAATTACTGAAAATTGAACTGAGCACCTGACGACATCGGCGATCACTATCGGCTCTCGAGTCTGCGTTGATAACGGGTAAAAATTCATCATTGACATCACCTTATTTACCGTGAAAACACACGTCGTGTAGTGTTTCGATGACGCAGGTTTCTCCCGAAAGAAATCAAAATTAGTATTAAAGTAGTAATTATAGATAAAAATCGAAATATGCTGGAGGAAATGATGAGTGTCTACTGTTTAACATTAGAAAAAAGGGACAAGTGGTGCTTCTATGTGGAGAGAAGTCAACATTGAATTTTATTAATTTTTTCCTCAAGTGGTCGAATATGCCAAGGTCACTATAAAAATGCAACTAGTGATGCACTAATATTTTCTTAAGTCTCCTTCTACTATATTTTTCTTCGTTTGGGGTGCAAGCTAAGTACAAATTGCTTACTTGGGTCATGTCACCAAATTAAGAAACTAATTACATGCTAGTGATTTTTATTTCATAAAGTTACTCTCACCTTCTACTTTTTCAAAAACTAAACATATATGTAGCTCTCATCTTGCGTGTACCCCTTCCGGAATATTATTGGATAATCAATAAAAGAACAGATGCCGCTGTAATTCCAATAGTTTAAGGTTCCGTGTGTTTCGCAAAAAAACGAATGATTTTGAAAACATTTCCCCCGAAAACGATCGCTTACATCGCTCTTATAAAAAATGACCGAACGTAAAAACATTTCCATCTCGATTCACTAAATCTTTTAGACAAAAGTTGTAATAGATAATATTTCTACCGACTTGCGAAAATATATTTCAAATCATTCACTATTCGCAAAGCAGAGGTAACCTTTCTTTGCTCATTTCAAATTGGGAAGAAAAGAACCTTAGGGAGGGAGAGAGAGAGAGGGGGAGTGGGACGACCTCGAAGAGTGAAGAAGGGTACATTGTGTTTAAATAATCTCGCCAAAGCCAAAGTGGTCCATCATCAATCCTTGCATGACTTTGCGAAGCTGACCCGCACTTAGATTATGTACATCAGTTTCAGTAGGTGCGCATTGTTGCATTGATTAGTTTCGGATAAGCACTCGTCTCAAAGTCCCACGAGGTGAGAGGATTCATCATGGTCATTGATTATATACATCAGTTTTAGCGGCATGCTCCACACACCTTTGGTTTCCAAAAGAATATATATAAAATACAAAAAAAATCGAGCAGAACTCACAAAAAAAAAATGGTCATTGATTGGAGTCGATCCTTGTAAGTTTAGGAAATGCTGCACAAAACTCATCAGATGCTGAATTTTGCTGCATGGAGATCAAGCACACTTAGATTCATTCTTTCTTCAGAAGTTTTGTTGTTCGGGTAAAAGACTACTTAAAAGAGCCGATCGCCTGTCGGTCTAGCTTAAAATCTTCCCGCATGTCAATCGAGCAATCGATCGTGCACAGGGATGTAAAAACGTCCTAAGCCAATTGTACAGCGGCCACTTCAGTTCTAAAACTTTTATTTATGTTAACTTAGTTTTAAACCTTTTGACAATATGCCAATGTAGTCCTTAAAGCTAATTTTGTCCGGAAATCGCCAACATGGATGTTGGCTGTCATACGTGGCATAGCTGATGCTGACATTGGCAATTTAGTCTTAATTTTTTTTTCTCATTACCCACGTGACCCAAAAAGAAAAGAAAAGGAGTAACTCAATTTAAGAACCTAGGCAAAACCCAAAACCCTAGTATTCTACTGGTGTCATCAGATCAACCACTCCTTTGATTTTCCTGTTTAAAACCCAGAAGCAATCTTGGCTGGCTGCTTGCTTGCATTAAACCTAATATTCAAAGAGCAGTAACCCAACCCTTCTCCTTCCACATGGGCCGGCCACTTACCACAAAGATCACATGCTGCTCCCAATAGTCAATTCCATCACATCTCTCCGCTCTCAGCTCTGACCATTTTCTGTTCCCCTCTCAACTCTTTCAAAAGTGTATCACATGCTTGAAACTTTTGATAATCAAGGGAAGAGATTGATTTGGCTCAGAACAAATCATGCAGCCTAGGATAATCAATTCGATTTAACCCGGGATCACTCGGTCTCCTCGTCCACACGGATCGCGAGACATGAATGAACAGCTTATCACGCCTCCACCAATCATCCTGATTTAATTGACAGCAGCACTGATGACTATAGATACAATAAGTCTTGCCTCTCGCATTTCAACCCATGTCTTACAAGTTCGATCTTTACTTGTTTGAGCGAGCATGGGCCCGTGAATTACTCGACATTAACGAGCAGCTTATCAGGCCACCGCCAATCGTCCCGATCTAATCGACAGCAGCACCGATCACTACAGATACGATGACTCCCGCCTCTCGAATTCCCGACCCGTGTCTTGCAAATTCGATCTTTACCCCGTGTGAACGAGCTCGGCAAAGGAAGCCAAAAAAAAAAAAAAGGCCTGAAACAGGACTATTGCCAAAGTGCCAGACCGAGGAAAGGGGCCCAAAAAAAAGAAGAAAGAAAAGCTGCAAAAATGATAATGAGAAAAAATAAATAAATAAAAACGAATTTTTAATAATCCCCCCCATTAATCGGTAATCATCACGGATTAACGAAATGGACCCTCCACGGCCCGTTTTAAAGGCTCGCCTTAATCCCGGATCCGAGAGTAGAACCCCCCCATCTCTCTCTCTCTCTCTCTCAGCCACGCTCTGCAACTGCCGAATTCCACCGGCCGTCCCAAACTCCTCCCGAGCTCCTCCTCCCCCCGCCCCGCCGCAGCTTCTCCGCCTCCTTCCTCCGAATCTCGCCGCCGGCGTCGAGCCTCCCCGCCCCGCCCCGTCCCGGCCTCCTTCCTCCTCCTCCTCCCCGCGAATCATGCTGAGCACCGGCGGCCGCGGCCTCCCCCACGCCGACCGAATCGCGAGGCAGGCGGCGGCGGCGGAGGCGGTGGCGGCGGCGGCGGCGTCGCGATGCGCGTCCGCCCGCCGGGTGTGAAGTACGTACGCGAGAAGAGGAGGCGGAGGGGGAAAAACCGATGATGTACGGGTGGTGCTGAAATCGTGGATAGAGCTTTCGAGGTTTGTCTTTGTCTTTTTGTTTTTTTTTTTTGCGGGAGAGAGGGAAGAGATGATATCTTCGGGGATAAACCTGGTGATGACGGTGATTGGGTTCGCGGTGAGCACCATGTTCATCGTCTTCGTCTGCACGCGGCTCATCTGCGCTCGGATTCAGCTCAACGCTTCCCGCCGCTCCTTCGCTCTCGCCGGCCGATCCGATCTTGGCATTGTACGCGTCCGTCTCTCTCTCTCTTCCCTTCCCGCTAGCTCCGTTTGAATTCGGTGGCGTTCGATCTTTCCGTAGAGTTCGTCATGATGTATATCACGTACTCCGCCGATTTGATGGTGCTCTTTTGCTTTTTGAGTCTGACTCGGTTTCTGTACTTCACTGGCTTTTTCGCTGGCTTTTGATTACGCAAGAGAGGCCTTTCATACTGCTTTTTCGAATAAATTTTTGTTGCATAAGGCTTTTCTTTCCAAGTGGTGATTTTTAGTGCTTTTGTGATTTGGTAATTTTCTTATACTATGCTAATGTTTCTGAGGTGGATTCTTGAATTGTTCTCATACATTGGTCCTGGGCAATTCATTTGGGCCGACTTGCAGAATGTAGAGCTTCAACATGATCTTCTCTGTTTTTCTTTTCTTCTTTTTCTCTTTTCAGTCGTTCTTTCTCAATTTTCGTTCGCCGCCGTGTTGCTTTTTAAGCATTTCGCACTGATTTGAATTTTCATCTTGAAATTCCGGTTGTTGTTGTCTTTTTCAGCTACTTTTGCTTCTTTCTGACAAAAAATTATCTGTCTTTTTGGTTTTCCTGCATCTGGGTACCTTGATTTGTATGTAATGAGGCTATAAATGACAAAATTCAGCCCTGTATTTGTTGATGGATGAAAAATCTACTCTTTTGATAGAGAGCTGAAAACTGATGTCTGTAACTAAAGCCTCATCTCCTTCTCTGAACAGCTAGAGCGGGGTTTACATGGTCTTGAACCTGTAGTGGTGTCTAACTTCCCGACAAAGAAATACAGCGACGAGTTTTTCTCTGAGGTCGACGATTCTCAGTATGTTACTTTCTTGATTATTTGATTTGTTCTCTTCTTGGGTAGTAGATAAACTTTTATGGATCTTGAGTCTTCAAAGCTCGTCTCTTTCACCTACAGTAAATATGTTGCGAAGTTTGCTCGGTTCATGATTGGGGTACAACCACTTCCTTTTGGATGAGGCATCATGAACATTTTGCTGGGATCGTCATGATGCTATTACCATGTAGAGGATGATTCCTCTTCTGAGGAGCTTTACCAGTTCTGAGGGACAGAACTACGTGGGACCTTGAGAATATCGTACCTGATGTTACCCCCTTTTCAGAGTGTCTGGAAAGTAAAGTTCCATAATCTTGCTTCAGGACAAACCTTTAGTATAAAGTCCCTTCCATAGCAGACTCATTTATATGGATCTTATGGTTCTGCCAATCTCTGCTTGCCGACTACTTTTTTCAATAGATAGGTTTCTCTTGTCGGAAATCACTTGTATTCGCCGAGTCTGGGCTCCCCAACTTCTCAACCACGTTGTCAGTTTAGAAAGGTCCCCGCAGCAGCTAGCTCTGCAGCAACAGCATGCTGTTATGCCCCTAAGCAGACCATGGACTCGGACAGTTTCTTGCATTTTTTCGGACCGTGTCATCATTCTCTATGCATTCTTGATTGGGCTCAAATTTAGTTTAGACGTTTTGAATCAGCTTTCATTGCAAGTAAATTTGAATCTCTCAAAAAATATACCGAGTACTAAAGCAAGAGCAAATCTATTGATCCACACCATTGAATCTACGACTGAATTAACTATAAATGTTTTATGATAGTTCACTTATTGTGGATTCTGTCTTTCCCAATTGCTGTTGTTCATTTCAGGTCACTTCAAACTTTTTGAGCATCATAGATATGATGATGCTCATCACATACTAAGGCTTTCTTTAGGTTTGAAATTAACGTCTCTATTGGTTGTGAAGTATATCTAGTAGGAAGCCATTGTTAATGTTAGTTTGGCTAAGTATTATGAGGTTGAAATAACAATTACTGAAAAACATGAATGGGATTGTGAATCAGATAAATAGGAAAATGAAAAATACATTACTTCAAAATATCAACTCAAGAATTTAATAGTTTGGCCATATGAAGAATTTAAACCTCGAACTCCTCTTTATAAATTGAGCGAGGACTAATAGAGTTTTGTGGAGATTAAACCAACTTTTTCCTTTGCCAGATGAAAGCCAAATGTAATATGTTATCATTCTAGTAAATTTATTCAAATATTGAGTATAATTGCAACAAATAGAATTAATTTATCACAAACAGTTAAGTGAATGGTAAAGAAAACAAATCAATTAATGCTTCTTTGGTACAACATATTGATATAATTGCCCTGTTCAAGAGCCAGGCTCGTTTATGACTTTTATGTAGTTACATATTGGTTTATAAAGCCAAGATTTACTTCACAATACTCATTTAGTTTGGCAAACCATGAAATTGCAAGATGATATGATTTGCTTCTTTGTTACAGCATACTGTTCTAATTGCCCTTTTCAAGAGCCAGGCTCGTTTATGGCTTTAATGTAGTTACATACTGGTTTATAAAGCCCAAGATTTTCTTCACAATAGTCATTTAGTTTGGCAAACCATGATATGATATTTACTTCATTAGAAGGTATATATTTGATAAGAGAGGCATTTGTATAACTTGATACCAAAGCTATTTGAAAAGATCTGTGGAAAAAACATGAGATGTCAAGAGATTTTGTCTGCAAGTTTAAGCTGGCTGTCATGTAGCATCTTTCTGACCCTTTTTCTCTTTGTTTGGACGGATGTAGCTTATACTCACACCTTCTCCTTTCAGCTGCTAAACGATTGGATTTAGTTGGCCTTTACTGGTGACATGTGGGTCAAAAGGCCACATGAAGTTATGCCTTAGATCTGTGAGTGTGGTCGTTCTTGTAGCCAGGTAGATGATGTTAGTATTGTAAGTAGTATGTCGTGACAACTGTGGTGATTGGATTGCAATAGTGATTCTTACAGTGTCATAGGTGTCATTGTGGTAGCTGATCATGTTGTTGGTATAGCCCACTGCTTTGTAGTTTGCTTGTAGCATGTGAGGAATTGATGTTGTCACCCTGTAAACCTCTTCTAAGTTTTGAGGTCATTAACAAGTTGATGAGATGTGAATTGCTTGAGGTAATTGCTAAATATTTGGCAAGCAAGCGGCCGGCCCCCTTTCTTTTGCTGCACATAGACAAGTGGTTAAATTCTTCAGATTTATATCTATGTCGAAGTATAGCATCAGCTTCTATTACATGTTTAAATTTTTCTTCGCTTTTACTGTATTATCATTAGTATGAACCATTCTTTCCAGTCACACATCAGAACCCTTCTCAAGATAAATACTGCAGTTTGAATTTAAATTTCAGCTGTTTGTTCTCTCTTTCCTTGCTAACCACTGACATTCCTGATGTTTATATGGTTGCATGAATGTGTTCTCACTTTTGCATGTGTTTGTTCAAAATTGTGACTTAGATGCACCGTTTGTTTGGCCGAATACCATCGGGAAGACATTCTGCGTATCCTCCCAAGTTGTGGGCATTCCTTCCATGCTACATGCATAGACATATGGCTTCAGCAGCATTCCACATGTCCGGTCTGCCGAATATCATTACGAGAGTTTTCGGAGAAGAAGCGTTCAATGCAACCTTTATTTAGTTCAGCTCTTCGACCTCATCGAGGCATGGAGACCGTACGTGTGCACTCCCCTCATTGTCCATTGGCTGCTCACAACTTCACGTCGAGAGCCAACTACGCCCACAGGATGGACCCTATACGAGAGGATCGCTTTGCAACCATGGAGGGTAGATCAGAACCGGGAGAGAGCATCCACACATTGGATGAGCCTGGTCAGTTTTCAAAAGATAAAGGAAATGTGCACACAGAAAGCCAACAATCTAATGCATAAGAATCTTGGCATGAAGAGCTAGCCGGACTCTCTCAGACCGACAGCTATAAGATATAGGTTCAACCAAGAAAGGTGTATCCTTGAAACTTCGCTGCTGCTGTCTCTCGAGGGTTTACATTTGCTGTAAATATGGTGAAAAGTCTTTTTCCTAATACTTGTTGATCTCCCTTAGCATTAGTTAATTGGTGGGGCAGTTTTGTTCAGCTCAGTTGTAGAATTGTAGTTTCTATCAGTGGTGAACTGGTGGTTTTCTTTCCACTCATTGGGCCCAACTTTTCTGACTTTCCTAGTTGCCTCTGATTTACTCCACATTCTCCAACAGCTGTATCATTTAGTGGGCCTTGCTCTTTACTCGACAAGAGCGCTGGATCTTCACCTCTCTTTTGGTTGTACGAAATCTCGATGTTTTCCGCGACTTGCTACTTTCAGTATTTTCTATCCATGTAAATCTTGTGTGGCTCCACTCAACGCATGATTAAGATCTTCAGAGAATTCGGATTCTGTTTTTTAGGTGCACCTAGTGGCCTTTTCTCTTTACCTGAAAGAGAAAGCAGACACTGTGATGATTGATTCTTATGTCTCTTCTATTAGTAAAGCAGTATCATTGTTTCTATCTCCAGGTTGAGCTTTTGTTTGTGTGGATTCTGATCTACGTAATTTGACATATTTCACGACAGTTCTCGGTTGTAAGCTTATCTATGTCGAGGGCACTGGGAATGAATGTCAATTGATTTTTCAGGAAACAAGTGCTTATATGGGCATACTCTGCCTGGCTATCGGTATCCGACCTGACTGAATCAGGCCAGGCTCTATGACCAAATAAAAACCAAAGACGGAGTAGTTGCTAAAACTGCCTCATGCATTTGATTTCATGTTTCCATTCCAGTGTCTTCATGCACAATGCAAGCTCACACAGATGGCAACTCTTTCTTCCCTATAGAAGAACCGAGCCATTGAACATATCATCTCATATCCTGGAATAATACTACTTGAGGACGGACAATAACGATAGCGGGTGTTCATTACCTCAGCCCGATAAAATTCTCAACTACCCGCAAAATGGGGAGCTGCAATATCTCTTTAGGAAGGAGTTGACGATAAGTGACTCTGCGGGAGGGTTAATCTTCACGCTAATGTCGAGCTGCCACCTAAGAGATCTTCTGAGGCCACTGCTTGATGCCGTGGCTGGGGATGGACTGATGGTTTGGTGTTACACACTAGCGATCGGCTTTAAAGAAGGAGAGTCGCGTATCAACTCTCGGTCCTTCCACTCCCATTTGAATGAGACAGAGACCGCTCTTTGAGTGAGAATGATACTAGGTAGAAAAGCCGATAAGAAAGCCCTTTCTTCTCGAGTTTGGACATCAAGGAATGACTTACATATGCCATATTGTCACTTGCCCTCGCTGCTGATATAAAATTCAATGTGTAGGTCGAAGGTACGAAGGATTGCCAAGCTTAGTTAAAAGTGCGAGTTGGGTCGAAAGGTGTAGTTTAAATCCTAATCTTTGAAACGCGAAGCACGATTTTGGAAGGCAAAACAAGTGTAACTTGAGGATTCGGGCCCAAGATCTGCTTCTTTGACACAGCATAGATTCCATGTGAGACCTGTTAATACACACAAGCTTTGAGCCACAAAAGATGATGTCTTGATAATCAAATACTCCAACAAAAATAAGTATTGACATTCTCTTGATGTGTTTCGACCTTTCTGCTTTTCCCATACGCCCTAGCTCAGGCATTCCAAAGACCGACAGAATGAATGAGGTAGAAAGAAGTTGCAAACCCAGAAAGGATTGAAGTTGAGCTCGCCATTATAACTCTTCCATCGTTTTACAAGAAAAGTGACAGCAGAAAACAAGAAAATATGCATCTACTCTTCATCAAACCTGATCTTATTATTTTGTTCTCCGCAAGACAAAGCTTCATAGACATCCTATTTGATTTATATTAATATTCTAGATAATAATTTCACAATCAGTATTTTCTTTGGACAGGGTAGCATATCCTACACCAACTAATCAAGAATGGAAATCAAGATTTGCCTCAAAATTATAGCAAACTGTGCTTGAAAGTGGAATCAATAGAAGGTTACGATATACCTATAACAGATCAAACTAACATTTGACATGAGGCCACCAACTATTTTAATTAAGGCATAAGTGCGTTGAAAGTCCTAAAACTTGTCATGAAAGTGCAATTGAATCCTAAAACTTTCAAAAAGTGCAATCAAGTCCTAAAACTTGTCATTAAAGTGCGCTTGAGTCCTAAAATTTCAAAAAATGCAATCAAGTCCTAAATCTTGTCACGAAAGTGTAATCGGGGTCCTAAAAATTTCAAAAAGTGCAATCAATGGAAGGACTTGATTGGACCAATTTGACAAGATTTAGGATTTGGTTACACTTTTCGAAAGTTTTAGAGCTCAATCGCACTTTGGTGACAAGTTTTAGGACTTAATTGCACTTTTTGAAAGTTTTATGATCCATTTGCACTTTCGTGACAAATTTTAGGACTTTCATTGCATTTATCTCTTTAATCAATTTACAACATCTCTTTCACAAAGGACAACCCCAAGACCAAATGTATGACCCTGCTAAACGTTTGAAGCTCATGTAAACTTACGAAAATAAGCAACTAAGAGTGAAATCTCTTGCAGTATATACAGCTCTAGGAAACATTTCTCTATACTTGTATATGTGAAGTTATCATGAAAGTCACTAGGGCCACTCTGCCTGGCAAGGCCAATGCTACTGGGATCCGCCCCGACTCGATCAGGCCCGCTCTATGACAAAATATAAACCAAACACATTTTTTTGATCAAGCGTATAGACCAAAGATAGAGAGTAGTTGCTAAAACTGCATCTCATGCATTTGCTTCTGAGTCGGTCCACCTTCTCATGCATTCTAATTTCGTGTTTCCACTCCACTGTCTTCATGCACAATGCAAGCTCACACAGATGGCAACTCTTTCTTCTTTTAGAAGAGCCGAGCCCCGCAACATATCATCTCATATTCCGAAATAATACTACTTGAGATCAGAGGATAACGATGGCGGGTGTTTCAGACCCTCAGCCTGATAAGATCCTCAACGACCCACAAAATGGGCCACTGACATTTCTCTTTAGGAAGAAGTTGACAAGAAGTGACTTTATAAGAGGGTTAGTCCTCACGGTATATTCGAACTACCACCTAAGAAATCTTCCGAGGCCGCTGCTCGATCTCATTGCTGAGGATGGACTGGCGGTCTGGTGTTACACACCAGCTATACACCACGATGGCATCATACTAAAAACCAATCCAGATATGACCAATTTCCGGTTCCAGAAATCTGGTTGGGACCAAATTGTTGTCGCAAATCGATTCCTCATTGGACAAGAAATCGATTGCTGGTCTCTATATGATGCAGAGGATGGTCTGCATGGCAATTTGAGCTTTCTGATCCAATCGGTAAGAATCGAGTTATTTTTCATGCGAATATACCATAAGACCTTGACTAGGGTGGTTTTTGTGCTGAGTTTAATGCACTTAAATAAGAATGAGGCTGAGTCATAATTTGCTCTGCATGCAGGTTGGCGACTATGTGGTACCTCATGAAGCTGCTTCAGGAGAAGAAACGGAAACATCAAGTGGAAGTTAAAGAGGATCAGGATTCCGAACATAGTTAGAAAATATTTGACGCTAAATGATAGATTGCTAGTTTTCTTTCTGTTCTTTCAGTTTGTGGGTCTTGGCTTTAGAAGTTGATGATAAATTAAGCGATGATTATCTGAAGAATAGGATAACTGACTGGCACTCCTGAGTTTCCTGCTTCATAACTTGCTTCAAGCATGCAAAGCATTGGTGTTGCATCCCTGAGTTTTCCGTCTTCTTTTTATCACGTTTCATAATTGCTTCCTAGGGTGGTTTTTGTGCTGTGTTTAATGCACTTAAATAAGAATGAGGCTGAGTCATAATTTGCTCTGCATGCAGGTTGGCGACTATGCGGTACCTCATGAAGATGTTCTTCCAGTGTTGTTTCCTGCACATATATAACCGACGATGGAATCACCAATGGAACTTACTTTCAATTGTAAAGAAGAAAACACCACAACTTTTAACTATCCTTCCAGTTACCTTGTTGCGCTTTTTCCGCTGAACTTGGACCCGATCCAGTGGTTTGTACGAGTAATTAAAACCTTTCCATCTGAGAAAACAGGAAAACAGTTGATCAACAAATCAATCATGAAAAAACAATAGAAAAGAATACTCATCATCAACATTATTCCAAAAAAGATGGGCATGTCCTTTTCTTCACTACTGAGCATTTACCAACAATACAAGGGGAAAAAGAGGAATCCGGAATGAACTGGTACCTTGAGAATATTGTACCTGGTGCTACACCCTTTTCAGATTGTCTGGAAAGTAAAGTTCCATAATTATTTGACTTCAGGACAAACCTTTAGTATAAAGTCCCTTCCACAGCATACTTAATTTAGGATTAAATGGATCTTATGGTTCTTCCAAGCTCCGCTTGCCCACTACTTTGTTACTACAGATAGGTTTCTCTTGTCAGAACACACTTTTAATACCCAATCTAGCTCCCCGACTTCTCAACAATGTCGTTAGTTTAGAAAGGTCCCCTTACTTGTGCAGCAGCTAGCTCTGGAGCAACAGCATGCTGTTATGCCCCTATGCAGACAGTTTCTTGGATTTGTTCGGATCGTGTCATACTTTGTACATTCTTGATTTGGCTCCAATTCAGTTTAGACGTTTTCGATCAACCTTAATTGTAAGTAAATCTAAATCTCTCAAAAAGATACAGAAGACCAAAGCAAGAGCAAATCTGTTGATCTGAACCATTGAATCTACTGACAGAAACAACTAAATTGTTTCATTACAGTTTACTTTTTGTGGATTTACTCTTTCCGATTTGCTATTGTTCATTTCAGACCACTTCTCATACTTCTGAGCATTATATGTATGATGATGCTCGTCACATACTAATGCTGTCTTTAGGTTTGAAAATAATGGCTCTATGGGTTGTGAAGTATAGGCAGTAGGAAGCCATTGTTAATGCTAGTTTGGCTAAGTATTATGAGGTTGAAATAACAACTACTGTAAAACTTGAATGGGACTGTGAATGGGAAAATTAGGAAATTGAACAACTACATTATCTCAAAGAATCCAGTCGAGAATTATAGTCTAGTTTTATCACGTGAAAAATTTAAAACTCGAACTCCTCTCTTGTTACAATTGAGTGAGGACTAATAGAATTTTGAGGAGATTAAGGTAATATGATAACACAATATCAATTATAATTAATCAGGGAAGATAAGTAAAATTTCTTGATATTTTCCAATTATCTCTAATAGGGTTTGTCTTGGTGAAGACATCAACAGTTTGGTCAACGGACGAAATGGAGACGAAGTCGAACAGTACCACGGACAAAGTGATATTGGATGAAATGACAATCTATTTTAATGTGCTTGATGTGTTCGTAGAAAACATCATTATGTGCTATTTGGATAGCACCGCGGTTGTCGCTATGAATGACTGTTGTGCTATTATGATGCTCTCCCGTCTTTCAGTAAACATTTATGTAGGATTCTCATCTACCTAATTTGACATGCTTCATGACAGTTCTCGATTGTATGCGAATCTATGTCGAGGGCACTGGGAATTGAAGGAATCAGATTCCTAAACATAATGCAAAAACGCGGAAAACGTGCCCATTCTATACTTGAATCACCGATCGAACGAAGCATATTACGTAAACGAACATACCTCTTTGCCACAGATTAAGTGCACCTATTGCAGCCTCGAGAAAGAAAGCGATCCTTCGATCGTCGAACGAGAGCCCTTTTTCCTTTTTGAGTGAGAGAGTTTCTTGTTTTCTCTTAAAATGAACCCACTCCAATTTTTGACAGAATGTACGTAACATGTCTGCCTCACAAATAACTGCCTCGGCGGTTATTTCTCTCTCATGGGCTCTTTCAAGATTAATGGGCTGGGTTTGGCCCAACATGGGCGGCCCAATGATCACAAAACCCATTATCTCCCACTCGCACATGGTGGGCTAAACATAATTCTCTCTTCTTTGCAATATTCATACTAGCAAATAATCCGTGCGACCAGCATACTTCGAGAGCTCGTTGCGATGCATCTGTTAGGAATACATAGCAGCTCAGATTGGGCATAACGTTTTCGAGTAGATATAGTATGCAGTACCCTAGATCAATCTGTCACATTTATATCTCTTTTTGATCTCTTTTAGTATCTTGTGTATTGTATTCACAACTATGATTTACTCAAGATCATAATTGGTCGACCTGTGAATACAAAAATAGAATATGACATCATAAATAAATTGATCTTCCTCTTTTCTTAAACCTTTCTATTTCAGTCCAGCTCGCTTTTCTAGAAATGCCCCATTAGATCGAATCATTCATGACCATTGGCAACACCCTAAGATAGCGAACACTGAATATAAACTTTGAGAATAAGTTAGAGTCGTGAGGGCACTGAATGAGGAACTCATATCCTCAAGAGTCTCACACGGCATTAAGTTGAGATCAAAAACTTTTGCCACTCTTATCGGTCGTCTCATGCATACGTAGTATGAAATACGTATTACGGTATTAACTCCTTTCCCATGGAGCGTATGTCTTTATATTCAATACCGTACAGATGATAGTTCAGACATACTCAATGTCTAAATTTGAATTCACGTATCTACTCTTCTAAAGAATCCATTAGAACTCACATCTGGCATCAAAGACAGATAAAGTAAAATATGTGGGCTATTTTACTTTCGGACGTAGTAAATGTTATGTCCTCATCTTAGCACTTAGCTAAGGCGACATTTATATTTTAAGCTTGAGCTCTCAATTATCACTTAGATAATAAGCTTAAAATTGTCTCATCTCTATTTATCACACAGTAAATAGAGGCGATTACTCGTATGAGTGGGTTAATCTTATCTGTCCGACATACTTTCTTAACACAATACACTAAGTATTAAGATGCATAAAAAAAATTCATAGGCATTAACAATGATATAACAATTTCATTTAAATGTGAACATTAAGGGAAATTACAATATTCAGTACATCAGCATCAACGCAGTCCTAGAGATTTTTACATGACCATTGAAAACATCTCTAGGAATTGGCTTCGTCATAGGATCTGCGATCATTCTATGCGTAGATATGTACTGCAAGTTCACATCTTTTCGTGCTACCATATCTTTAACAAAATTGAACTTGGTATCTATATGTTTGGTCTTGCCATGATATTTCGGATCCTTGGTGTATGCTATCGCTGCTTGGCTATCACAATTGACTAACAATGAGCTTGCAGCATGCTCAACAACACCTAAATGATCCAAAAATCTCTTAAGCCAAACTCCCTATTGTACTGCTGCTGACAACGCCATAAACTCGGCTTCCATGGTGGATAATGCTATACATGTTTGTTTCTTACTGCTCCAAGATATGGCGCCATTATTCAGTAAGTAAACAAATCCAGAGGTAGATTTCGTTTCATCTAAATCTCCTCCCCAATCAGTATCTGAGTAGCCTTCAAGTCGCAGATCCTTTCCTTGATAACTCAGAGAATAATCAGCAGTACCTTTTAGATACCTCATGATTCTTTTGACGGCTTTTCAATGTGCTTGACTTGGATTGGATTGGTATCTACTTACCATTCCAACTGCAAAACATATGTCAGGTCTTGTACACATCATATCGTACATTAAACTCCCAACAGCACTAGCATAAGGAACACGTTTCATTTGTTCCTTTTCTTGTGGAGTCTTAGGACACAACCTACGGCTCAATCCGTCACTTTTTGCAATAGGAGTATCCATGGGTTTACAGTCATGCATACAAAATCGTTCAAGAACTTTGTTGATATAAGTCTCTTGCGAAAGAGACAATAATCTCTTGGAACGATCTCTTGAAATCTTAACTCCAAGAATATATGCAGCTTCACCCATATCTTTCATCTCAAAATTGGACGATAACCAGCTCTTAACAGTATTAACCAACTCCATATTGCTTCCGGCAATCAATATATCATCAACATATAATGATAAGATCACAAATTGATCTTTGGATCCTTTGATATATACACAATGATCTTCATCAATTATTGTAAAATCATACGCCACTATGGCATTATGAAAACGTATATACTATTGTCTCGAACACTGCTTAAGGCCATATATCGATCTTAGAAGTCGACATACCTTTTGTTCTTGGCCTTTCATAATGAAGCCAACGGGTTGCTCCATGTAAATTTCTTCTTCTAATTCTTCATTTAGAAAAGCAGTCTTTACATCCGTTTGATGTAATTCAAGATCCATACTTGCCACTATTGCCGGAATAAGGCGAATTGAGGTAAATCTCACTACAGGAGAAAAAGTTTCTTCATAATCAATTCCTTCCTGTTGATTATACCCTTTCGCCACGAGGCGAGCTTTATATCTTTCTATTGAGCCATCGGATTTACGTTTTATTTTGAGAACCCATTTGTTCCCAATAGCTTTGCGTTCTTTCGGAAGATCAACCAATTCCCAAACTTGATTGGATTTCATTGACTCCATTTCTTCTTCCATTGCATCTATCTATTTTTTCTTACTAGGGCAATTTGGAGCCTCATTTACATTCCTTGGCTCATCTTCATCTTGTGGAGCGACCATGAAAGTTTCCCCTTCAATGTCAAAACGTCGTCGGGGAACACTTTTGCGACTTGTTCGCCGTACGGGAGATTGTACACGTGGTACATCACTCTCCATTACGCTCCCACTTGGATTAGATAATGAGGGCATCGTCTCATCAAACGATTGCAATTGAGATTGAGACGAATTTAATTCCTCATTTCTCACATTGCTCCCACTTAGACGATCTTCATCAATTTCATTATCATGATCCAAGGTTTCAAAAAGTGATAGTTCTCACCTATTTCGCCTTTTTTAGGAAACTCATTCTCTAAGAATGTGACATCTCGTGATTCAAATTCAGTAATACTCCCACTTTCTTGCTCACCTATAAACACATACCCTTTCGAGTGCTCTGAGTATCTAATAAAAATACTCTTCTTGCCTCTAGGACTCAGTTTCCCATACTTGTGAGAGGGCTCGTGAGTATAAGCAGCACAACCCCAAGGTTTAAGAAAACTTAAATCGGGTTTTCTACCTGTCCATAACTCATACGGAGTGGAAGTAACTGATTTAGAAGGCACACGGTTAAGTACATAGGCAGCAGTTAACAAAACATCACCCCAAAAGGTGATAGGTAAGTTAGCTTGTGCCATCATAGACCTAACCATTTCCAATAGGGTTCTGTTTCTCCTCTCGGCAACACCATTTTGTTGAGGAGTATATGGAATAGACAACTGTCTTTCTATTCCTTTTTCATCACATAAATTTCTGAACTCATCAGATAAATATTCTCGACCTCGATCGGATCTAAACGTTTTTATTTTCTTGTCTAATTGATTTTCTACTAAGTTCATAAATTTCTTGAAGCAACTCAATGCCTCAGATTTATGAGAAATCAAATAGACATCAAATAGACATATCCAAATTGAGTACAATCATCTATGAATGTGATGAAATACACAGCCCCATGCCTTGCTCTTACATTCATTGGACCACAGATGTCAGAATGGATTAGTTGCAAAGGAAACTCAGCTCTTGTACCCTTTCCAAATGGTTTCCTTATTGTTTTTCCCGACAGGCAATGCTCGCAAATAGACAAATCAACTTTTTCAATATTGCATAATAAGCCCTCTTTGGCTAATCTTTGCATTCGTTGTTGGCCAATATGACCAAGTCTAGCATGCCACACATTCACATCATTTTCATAAGAGTTGGAAGATGTAAATAGGGAATAACAAACGTTAACATCACCACAGTCAACATCTAGTACAATAAAACCATTTAGAAAGTATCCACAACCATAGTAATTCGTATTCAAATACAAATCAACACCACTATTATGGAAGTTCAAATTAAAACCAAGTTTAACCAACACTAATACAGACACTAAATTCCGACGAATCTCCGGAGCATATAATACGTCATGTAGGAACAATGTGCGTCCACCATGCATCATCAACTGGCAGGTGCCAATTCCTTTAACTTCAGCTTTGGAGTTGTTCCCTACATAGATCCATTTCGTTCCGGTCGGAACCCGTCGGAACTCCACGAAGGCATCTCTGTCCTTCGCTACATGGTCTGTTGCTCCCGAATCTACAGTCCACAAAGGATTAGACTCAGTTAAAAATACAGAACTTGACACATAGGCAAAGTTCTCAAGAATGCAAGGGGAGTTTACCTTCTTTGGCTCGCCACAATCGCGAGCGAAATGGCCTTTCTTGCTACAGTTGTAGCATTTCACCCTCGACATCTTCTTAACAAAAGAACGCTTTCCTTTGTCATGTTGATTAAATTTAGGTTTCTTACCCGAAGAACTTGCTCTCTTGCCTTTCCACTTCATGAACCTTTCGATGCGCTTGCGCTTGGAGCCTGAAGCCCCATGTGAGCTAGAACCAGCATAATAGATGTCGGTTTCTGGTTTCGCCGCCATGAGGCGATCCTCTTCTAACTCAAGATGGCGCATGGCATCTTCAAAGGTCTTGATGTTTTCATTATGGGTCAGGTGCACCTTCATGTGCTCCCAGCTTTGAGGCAAGGAACGGATCACTGCTTGCACTTGCTGTTCATCAGTTATAATGTGTCCAGCATCCTTCAGCTCAATGATCATGTTCAACATCTTTCTCAGGTGTTGTTTCATGGACTGACTATGAGATTTCTTATACGAGTCAAACCTTATAGTGAGCTGTCTCAGCTTGGTCACCGACGTATGACCAAATCTTGCTGCTAATGCTTCCCACATTTCCTTGGCATTCTCAAACCGCCTGAACTCTCGCATGATATCATTCTCCATGCTACTCAGCAACGTGATGTGAGCAGGCGAGTTCTTCCTCTTCCATACAGCAAATACATCTCTGTCTCTCTTATGCTGTGCAGTGTTCCCATCCTCAGGTTCTTCCATAAGTTGATTAAGAGCTTCTAGTGCTTCTTGTTCTTCTAGCACATATTGGATTTTCATGTTCCATATTTCATAATTTTCACCGTTCAATTTCTCTCCTTTGTTCAATTCAGCCACTATGTTCTTAGTTGCTGAAGCCATGGTATCTGAACATTTCAGACATATAGCACGAATTATTAATGCCACTCATTTATGCATCAATTTTACACAAACTAATTATATTAATGAGTAATTTCACATAGTTTTTAGATTCGAAAGTTCACTATGTTCCCAATCATCATCTAAAATCCTAATGTGAAATTATCGTTAATATAATCATTAAGGTAAAATTACGTTCTTTAAAGTTACTAAAACTTTTAGAACTCCCACTCAACCAGATAATACTAATAAGACAGATATTATAATAGAATAGTACCATAAACTATTCACAATAAAAAATATCCATCAACATTCATTCACTAAGTACTATTTACATAAGGAACGAATCTAGCATAGAAAAGAAACATGAACACCAACATGAACAGTACTATCCACCTAGGATATCTAAAACCGAACTAAAATAAAATAAAATCAACGGCTTATCAATTTCCTATACACAACGAAAGATTCATCAAAGGTCTTAGAAAAATCAATCTTCTTCTTTGGCAACCAATAAAAGACTGTCGGGTATCCCTTAGGCTTTTTCCATGGCGCATTCATTCTTTGCCAAGTTGTATTCATCCCTAGGGTCGAAATCTTTGTTACCTCAATCCTATAATATTCTCTCACAAAATCCATTGCAAGCTTTTTGTAGGCTGGGACCACGTTGACCTTCCATAGTTGATGCAACACCTTTTTCCATTCAGATGGAAGAGTGTTGATCAAAACATTCATCTTCTCATAGTCCGGCATACAATAACCTTTCCAGATGATTTTCTGTATCATCTCATTGACCTTGACCACGTGATCCTCCAAATTGCCATTTTCCCATCTATAGTTATCTAGTTCAGCTCTCAACTCTGAAAGTTTTGCCTTCTGTTCAGGCATCCTAGCCATAATAGGGGTTTGATATCTTCGTACCATCGTTCCTGCAACAAATGCAGAAAAACTCAAAGGATTACTTTTTAATCCATGATACAATATTGCAAGAAACACATTCTGCCCCCTTTCAGCACCATTTTTTTTTTCGGTGGTCAACGCCGGTTAACGGTCGTCAACACCGGTCAACGGTCAACGAATGACTGGGTCAGGTCAACGGGTCAGCAGGGTCGGGTCACGAGTCAGCAACCGGGTCGGATCGGACCAAACCCGATCATATCAGGCCTTCCGGACCGAGCCGGGCTTTTCGGCCCAAAAAAAAATAACCGGCGTGGCTGACGTTAGCATGATGTCAGCCACGCCCACACGCACACGCATGGCGTGTGCGGCGCATGTGCGCGGCGGTAACCGCTGCGCACGTGCGACGCACATGCCGGCGTAGCCGCTGCTTGCGGCGGCGCGTGGAGGCGCGTCCGGCCTCCCCCAGCGGTGTACCACCCGTCGTTTTGCTCGTCTCGACGAGTACTACGACCCTACGTCTTCAAAAATAAATTTTTACGCACGGAAATCGAGAAACGACCACGAACAGTACGGCCGGGTGTCGGTTTTTCGTACCCGAGCGTTCGTCGGCGCCGTTTCACGAATTCCGGTCATCAATCCGTGTTAAAAACATATTAAACGATCAGGAAACAAGAACACATGCTCTGATACCAATGAAGGAAACAGATTCCTAAACATAATGCAAAAACGCGGAAAACGTGCCCATTCTATACTTGAATCACCGATCGAACGAAGCATATTACGTAAACGAACATACCTCTTTGCCACAGATTAAGTGCACCTATTGCAGCCTCGAGAAAGAAAGCGATCCTTCGATCGTTGAGCGAGAGCTCTTTTTCCTTTTTGAGTGAGAGAGTTTCTTGTTTTCTCTTAGAATGAACCCACTCCAATTTTTGACAGAATGTACGTAACATGTGTGCCTCACAAATAACTACCTCACAAATAACTACCTCGGAGGTTATTTCTCTCTCATAGGCTCTTTCAAGATTAATGGGCTGGGTTTGGCCCAACATGGGCGGCCCAATGAGCACAAAACCCATCAGGAATGAATGGCAATTGATTTTTCAGGAAATAGTGCTTATATGGGCATACTCTGCCTGGCTAGATCATCGCCATTGATACCCGACCCAACCCAACCCGACCAGGCCGCTCCATGACAAAATATTAAACAAAGACATTTTTTTTATCAGGGTATAAACCAAAGACAGAGTAGTTGCTGCCTCATGCATTTGCTTCTGAGTAGGTCCACCTTCTCATGCATTATGACTTCGTGTTTCCGCTCCAATTTCTTCATGCGCATTGCAAGCGCACACGGATGGCAACTCTTGCTTCCCTATAGAAGAGCCGAGCCCCGTAACATATGGTCTCATATTCCGAAATAATACTACTTGAGATCAGAGGATAACAATGGCGGGTGTTTCGGACCCTCAGCCTGATAAGATTCTCAACTATCCACAAAATGGGGAACTGATATTTCTCTTTAGGAAGAAGTTGATAAGCTATGACTTTCAGAGAGCGTTGGTCCTCACGGCATTTTCGAGCTACCACCTAAGAAGTCTTCCGGGGCTGCTGCTCGATGTCATCACCGGGGATGGACTGATGGTCTGGTGTTACACACCAGCTATACACCGTGGTGTCGTGTTAAGAAGCCATCGAGATATGCCCAATTTCCAGTTCAAAAAATCTGGTTGGGACCAAATTGTTGCCGCGAATGGATTCCTCATTGGACAACTAATCGATTGCTGGGCTCTATATGATGCAGAGGATGGTCTGCATGGCAATTTGAGCTTTCTGATCCAACCGGTGCGAATCGAGTTAGTTCTCATGCAAATATACCATAACTTCTTGACTCGGTTGGTTTTTGTGCCGAGATATAATGCACTGTAATTCAAAATGAGGCTGAGTCATAATATGCTCTGCATGCAGGTTGGCGACTGTGGGGTACCTCATGAAGCTGCTTCTGGAGGAGCAGAAACATCAAGTGAAAGTTAAAGAGGATCAGCATTCTGAACAATGCTTAAGAAATATTCGACCCTAAGTGATAGATAGCTAGTTTTCTTTCTGTTCTCTCAGTTTTTATGGTCTTTAGAATGTGATGATAATTGAGCGATCATTCTCTTAAGAATTAGATAACTGACTCGCATCCCTGAGTTTCTTGCTTCTTAACTTGCTTCAAGTTAACGAATGATCATCCAGACACTAAATTCATGAATCATGACATGTGCCCGAATAGAAATAAAGTGCATGATTAGTGACATAACAAGCGGTTTAGGGTGTTCGCTGGTCAAGTTTTAATTTTGATCAAAGCGAAAACACTTTGCTCTTGAAATACCAAGAATTTAAACTTGAAATCTTAACGTCTGTGCACGTCTGAACGACTCATTGTTCAAATAGTCTAAAGCTCAAAGTCTCCTCAATTGGCTTCAGAAAAGTATTAGTCGCATATTGACTGTTGATCCTCCATTTAAATGAAACAAAGACATGTTCTGAGTGAGGATGTTACAAGCTAGAAAAAATCCGGTAAGAAAGCTCGTTCTTCTCGAGTCCGGACTTCAAGGAATGACACGCATATAGTATATATTTTCACTTGCCCTCGCAGCTTAATTAAAAGTACTAATAGTCGAAAGGTGTTGTTCAAATCCTAATCTTAGAAACATGAAGAACAATTTTTGTGAGGCGGAACAAGCGTAACTTGAATGATTCGAGCACGATCTGCTGCTTTGATATCGTACAGATATCATGTGAGACTATGTCAATACACAAAAGCTTTAAGCTACAAAAGATGATGTCTTGATAATCAAATACTATTGACATTTTGAAAACCTTGTACAACCTAAGAAGTTCAAGAATTCAACGGTAACAAGATATTTATACAGTAGCCAAAACTAATAACCGTGGCTTTTGTAAGAATTCAACCGTCCTAGGCATGTAAAATATAAATCAAAGCATCTCTTAGTTTGCTTCTGTTGGGGAGAACCAGGAAACAATTCATCAAGAACTAACCCAATACCAAAACAAAACCGACCAATAAACCCAGCAACAATCAGCAATATATTCCAGTAATACAACATTAAAGTGTGTAAATATAATGCTGAAATGATAAAGAGACAAATGCAACATCAAGATTTTACATGAAAAACCCAATGCAGGACAATCACAAACCATCTTAAAACTTCCACTAATCACGAAGAATAGTAGGATACACAAAAGTTTTTCTCTGGTCACACAAGCTCAACATCAATAATACAAAAATATTTTATCACCACGAAACTACAATTAAAGTAAGAAACCCTAATCGCGATTGGAGAAAACGAGAGACAATTTGGAGGAGGTTCTCAATAAACGAAGCTGATCAACTTGTAGCTCTCTGTCTCACGAATAATATAGTGAAATTTGAGCCAATTCCGATAACATTTAACCTTTGAATCGGGAACGCAAATCGCTATCCCTTTTCTTCTTATATGCGCACTCTTCTCGGTGCTCTCGCTCTCTCTCTCTCTCCCCTTCTCCCCGAGCAAGCTCCCTTCTTTCTTTCTTTTTTGCTTTCTGACTTTTCCTTTTCTTTTCTTGAAGGAAGAAAATAGATTCAAGGTTGTCTACTTCAAGAGAGATGCATGTTCTTTTTTCAACCACTTGCACAAGATTCATTCTTCTCTTTCATGTACTTCTCTTCCTCCTTTTGGAAGAATACTTCTTGAACTGTTTCTCCTTCTTGTTTGAGCGGTGACAAGAGGGATCCTCACGACCGCATTTGATTTGCAGGCCCAGCTTCTTGCAGGCTTTGTCAAGAGCTTTGGTGTTTTCTGTAAATTTTTTGAATGCATTCTTACGTAGGCATAACTCAGCATGAAAACTTTGTTTGATTTCTCCAAGCGATGCTTCAAGGGTTCTTCTATATTTGCTCTGGAAGAATTTGTGTACCATATTAACATTTAGCTTTGTTATGAAGGATAAGAAAACGGGCTTCAAAGCTGGGTCTCCAGCTAGGGCATAATATCTTTTGAAGTGCCTATCAAAATACTTTCTTCACAAGAACAGTATTTTCTTTCAAATAACTCTGTTCTTTTTTGCTTGAAGAGATCTTCTGGGTTGCCTATGAAATATAGATGAAAGATTCGTCAGCTGGTGGAAGGTTCATCCACCAATCTAACAGACTACTCGTAAATCTGCTAACAAATTCCAAAAGTATGTCAAAATGACCGACTTATGGATTCAACGATATGACATTCATCCAAGGATAGAACTCTTGCACTTGTCCATGTCATTTGTGATATGGAATATCATCTAGGGTAAATGAAAGCCTAGAGGTGCTGGGAGCATTGGAATTAGGCCGGTGCAGTATAGACAGACAAAATTATGGACGAATGCGTAGGTTTGCTTATGAATAAATGGAAGTTAGTACTTTATTTCAGTGAAAATTGAAACTTAATTTACTAATTTAGGGTTTGTTTTAGAATATTAATAGATTAACTAATATGGGCCGATCCGTCCGTCCGGTTACTTATGTGGAACTAGGAACCGGTTGGTTCCCGGGTTGGACCCGACCGACGCACACGCGTAGCCGTAGTGTAGCAAAAGGTTGTCCTAAAGCATCTTAGTGCACGTAAGAGGGGAATAAAGCAAACAATATATCATTATTTCCTTCCCATGTCCTCGTACAAAAAGGATCATTCTAATTCAAGCTAACAGAATAGACCTCATTATTGGTCCACAGCACAATTTGCGCCCTCTTGGGTGAGTAATTTCCATTTCGAATTGAGTCTTCTCACATAGGCTCACTCTACCTGGCAAGGTCATTGCAATTCGGATCCGACCCAACCCAACCCGATTAGGCCCGCTCTATAACAAAATATAGTGTATAAACCAAAGACACAGTAGTTGCTCAAGCTGCCTCATGCATTTGCTTCTGAGTCAGTCTACCTTCTCGTGCATTCTGATTTCGTGTTTCCACTCCGGCGTCTTCATGCACTATGCAAGCTCACACAGATGGCATCTCTTTCTTCCTTATAATAGAAGAGCCGAGCCCCCGTAACATATCATCTCATTTTCCGAAATAATACTACTTGAGAATTGAGTTCAGAGGATAACGATGGCGGGTGCTTCAAACCCTCAGCCTGATAAGATTCTCAACTACCCACAAAATGGGGCACTGACATTTCTCTTTAGGAAGAAGTTGTCAAACTATGACGTTACGAAAGGGTTGGTTCTCACGGTAATCTCCAGCTACCACCTAAGAAGTCTTCCGAGGCCGCTGCTTGATGTCGTCGCTGGGGATGGACTGATGGTGTGGTGTTACACACCAGCTATACACCATGACGTCGTACTAAGAAACCATCGAGATATGCCCGGTTTTCGGTTCCGGAAACCTGGTTGGGACCAAGTCATCGCCGCGAATGGATTCCTCATTGGACAAGAAATCGATTGCTGGTCTCTATATGATGCAGAGGATGGTCCGCATGGCACTTTGAGCTTTCTGATCCAACCGGTAAGAATCGAGTTAGTTCTCATGCAAGTATACCATTACAACTTGACTAGATTGGTTTTTGTGCCAAGATATAATGCACTGTAATTCAAAATGAGGCCGAGTCATACTATGCTCTGCGTGCAGGTTGGCGACTGTGGGGTACCTCATGAAGCTGCTGCTTCAGGAGGAGCAGAAACATCAAGTGAAAATTAAAGAGGATCAGCATTCTGAACATTGCTTAAGAAATATTCGACCCTAAATGACAGATTGCTAGTTTCCTTTCTGTTCTCTCAGTTTTTAGGTCTCTTGCTTTAGAATTTAACGATAATCGATTGCTAGTTTCCTTTCTGTTCTCTCGGTTTTTAGGTCTCCTGCTTTAGAATTTGATGATAAATTAAGCGATGATTCGCTTAAGAATTAGATAACTAATGCTTCAAGTTAACGAATGATCATCCAGACACTAAATTCATGAATCATGACACGTATCCGCATGGCCAGTGACATAACAACCAGCTAACTGGTTTAGGTGTTCGCTTGTCAAGCTTTAATTTCGATCATGGTGAAAACAATTTGGTCTTGAAATACCAAAAACACTTCATAAAAAGTCGCTTTTAAACTTGAAATCTTAACGTCTGTGCACGTCTGAACGACTCATTGTTCAAATAGTCTAAAGCTCAAAGTCCCCTCAATTGGCTTCAGAAAAAGACTATCCACTGTTGATCCTCCATTTGAATGAGACAAAGACGCATTCACTAGCTAGAAAATCCGGTAAGAAAGCTCTTTCTTCTGGAGTTCGGACTTCAAGGAATGACATGCATATACTATATATTCACTTGCCCTTGCAGCTGATACAAAATACTACGAATGGTCGAAGGTATGGATGATTGCCGAGCTTAATTAAAAGTGCTAGTGGCTGAAAGGTGCTGTTCAAATCCTAATCTTAGAAACGTGAAGAAAAATTTTTGTGAGGCAAAACACACGTAACTTGAAGATTCGAGCACTATCTGCTAATTTTACATCGTATAGATTCCACGAGAGACCATGTCAATACACAAAAGCTTTTAAGCTACAAAAGATGATGTCTAGATAGTCAAATACTTCAACAACAATAAGTATTGACATTTTGAAAACCTTGTACAACCTAATTTAACGGTAACAAGGGAATTTAGAAGTAGCCAAAACTAATGACCGGCGGTGGCTTTTAATAGATGGTCCAGGAGTATTCCTTCCGAAGCATCTCAACCGTTGAAGGCATGGAAAATATAACTCAAAGCAACTCTTAATTTGCTTCAACCTTTCTGCTTTTCCCATAAAAAACATGCCCTAGCTCACGTATTCCAAAAGCTGACGAAATTAACAAGAATGAGGTAGACAGGAATTGCAAACACATAAAGGATTACGCTGAGATTACCATTATAGCTCTTCCATTGTTTACAAGAAAAGTGAAAACAGAAAACAAGAAAGCATGTTTCGCACCAGGGCTACTCTTCATCAAACCTGATCTTCTTCGGTGCTGCCTGGGTGTCACCCACCTACAAATCAAGAGAACACAAACAATAATAAGCAGATCCTATGAAACCAACGCAAGTATCAATCAAGCAAAATCACACATCTCATCATAAAAAACCATGAAACCAAAGCATGAAACACTTAAAATATCCAAGTAAAAGAAAAGCAGTTGCTTCTTACAATATCTGGACATTCATAGTCGATACCAGCCTCCTCTATCTTTTTCCTTCTTTTTTTATCACGTTTCATAATTCCTTCGACCAACTTCTTATGTTCTTCCAATGTTCTTTCCTGCAAGTTATAACCGAAGATGGATTCACCGATGGGACGTACTATCATTCGTAAAAGATGAAAAAACCACAACTTTTAATTATTCTTCCAGCTACCTTGTTGTGCTGTTTCCGCTGAACTTGGACCCGATCCAGTGGTTTATATCGGTAATTAAAACCTTTCCATCTGAGTGAACAGGAAAGCAGGTGATCAGCAAATCAATCATGAAAAATCCCAACAAAAAGGAATACTAATGATTAACATTCTTTCAAGTAAGATGGGCATGTCTTTTCCTTCACTACCGAGGGTTTGCCGATGGTACACAGGAAAAAGAGGAATCCGGAAACAAAATAGTGCACAGAACTTACATTTTCGGATGAACATGCTCTGGAGGGATAAGATGAACCTGCAACAAGTGCTCAAACAGTAGATAATTATGCATAGTTTCAGCTACAATCTTTGCCACCTGCAAATAGGAAAAAGCAATTTTACTAATCATCCTATAGATGGGTCCATGAAGGCACCGAAAGATAAATGTAAATGTCCAGACAAGCCAAACCTCTGAAGACTCAAATTGAATGAAACCAAAATGCTTCGACTTTCCAGTCTGCAAGAAAACAAATCAAACACCAAGAGTATGTCAAAGTAGTCTTCATGCGGATGTAGATATATAATTGTGGAAAAGGCTTTCTAACGGTATCAAAGGCTGAAATAGAAAGCTTCCAGAAAGCAAAACTAGTAACAGCAAATGCAAAAAAATGATATCCTAAGGCTCTCGCAGCATCCTTCTTGGCACTATCACAGAAATGCCAAAGGAGCAAGCCTGATCATATTAGATTATCCTCGCTCACAAAGAATAACAGTCACAAGTTTCCAGAGCCTGACCCTCTTGTTCCTGGCAATTCTTAACCTCTTGATAGTACCAAACTGACTGAAGTAACCTGTAGTAAGCAAGCAATAAGGGCAAAGATGTGTTATCCCCTGACATCATCGACAGCTACAACATTCCTTTAAACAGTAGATGAGAGTGAGAACTACCTTCAATTTCCTTCTCATAGAAACCGTGCGGTATACGACCAATGTAAAGAACCGTCGAAGTACTCTGGGAAGGTTTCTCCTCGGGAAGCTTATGCCCCGGACCACCTTCCAATGGCTTCAATGCAAAAAGGAATCATTTTCATCGGAAAAAAAAACCCAGAGACATCAACTCACAAAGCATAAGCACAAGAAGAAAACAATTAAAGCCAAATTTTCGGCATACCAAGAAATCGACACCTTCCGTCTTACTGTTCGAAACCGCCGACCGCGTGGAAGCCTTCTTCAACGACTTCTTCATCGCCTTCTTGGCCTTCACCCCCATTCTCTGGAATCACAACACCAAAAAAAGCATCACTCTTCTCACATGGTGTGTCAGAAGTGGGTTGCCGTCACATCGTTTAAACAACAGAGAAAAGGACCAACGGCGTTCAGATGAGACCAGCACAGAGGTTAAACAACACGGTCGACCCGAGATTCGCAAACACCAGTTTCACGAGGTAAAAAGGCCCAAAAAAAAAACAGGGGGGGTTCAACTATGAAACCGAAAAGGGGGGGAACCCCCAGCTCGAGAGGCAAGCTGGACAAGGAGACGCAAACGATTCGAAAACGGACGATTCCGCCAAGAAGAACCGCCGCCTGAGTCTCGACTGAAACGTAACGAAGCAAGAACAAGACCGTACCTTAGCGACGCAGAGGAAGCAGCCGTGCACGGGCGCGCAGTCTCCGGCGCCGAGAGAGAGAGAGAGAGAGAGAGAGAGAGAGAGAGGAGGGGTGGCGGCGGCCTGGCGGGGGGCGAGCAGAGTTTGGCGGTGGGGGAGATGATTAGGGTTTTTTGGGTTGGAGGGAGGGTTTTTGGACTGTCTGTATCTATATATCTCGGGGGGAAAAATCAACCAAGAAAAAGTTACTTGACGCAAAATAGATTTGCCCTCTATTTTCTATAGTTTTTGCAGACTTCCAATGATTTTTTTAATTCAAATTTTGGAATAATAATCATTAACCATCCAAAAGATGATATTGATATTTAGATATAAAAAAAAAGTGCAATGTTTAAATAATACGTTATTATGTTTGTTTTCTATATAATAGATTATACCGCTTTTCATTTTTGAAATAGCTGATTTTATCCGTAACTATCCAAACAATCTATTTCATATGAACGGATAAACAAAAAAGTTATTTATGTAAGTGTAACTAAATGATCTCCTTTCTTCTTCTTTTTCTTTTTCTCAATGATTCGATGAATTGTCTTCTTAAGAAAAGAGGAAGGAAAGTCTTTCATCTTTCACAAGCTCATTTCTCGAGCTTAGGAGTGGCGCTTAAGCTGAAGCCTGACGACTCTTGTCAACACCGGACGAGGCCTCTGTGGCCCCCGACGACCGCCTGCTGGCCTAGATTCGAGGGAGGGGCGCTGGCCATTGGCAAGCCCAGACGACCTCTGTCGGCCCTTTTTGGCAATAGGCTGCGGTGGTAGCCACTTGCAAGGCCTTAATTCAAGTGTGTGTGTTTTTTTTTTTGTAGTTTTGTGTTTTTTGTCAAACTTTGAGCCTTTTCATTTTTATAATAGAATTTAGTTTATATTTCTTTTTAATTTTTGATATTTTCTAACATGGCGCTCGGTAGACGCCACATTGTCACCACTTGTCTTAAGAAGTAATAAGATACACGTCGGCATTTTCCGTTAACCTAGTTGGACGGAATTAATGAAAATGCCCAATTGAACTAACTTGATAAATCTTATCACTTGATTGCCCTTTTTCAAAATTTTAAAACTCAATTGCACTTTTATGATCAATTTTAGAACTTCCAGTACATTTATCTAGCATCATTTTTATATCCTTGCTAGCTATGGTTAAGAGCAACCTTTATGTATTGATTGAAATTTGTAGTAAGTTGTGGACCAAAAATAATCTCAGGAAAAATGTGACATAATCTCGCAATAGATATCTATTCGGATCGTTATGACTAGAAATCTACAAATAATGGCCCGGATGTTCAAGCCACCAAAACATTTCTTTTTCCGTACCTAAACAGCAACATATTCTTCAACATGACTGTATGTCACATAGGAGTATGATGTTCCAACAACGATTTCTCCAACATGGTAGGAAGGCTGTACATCGGAGATGAAGCTTCGACACCGCTGGACAATCCCCCCATATTTTAAAGACATTAAGACGGGCCTTCAACATCCTCAAAAGCTCCACTGCATCTTTTCCTTCCAAATGTCCCAACTATATACTGTAACAAGAAAGGTGTTCTCCCAACATTTGAAGCTCCATTTTCAATTGAACAGCAACTGCCCCATTTAACTTCCATAACTCCAGTGACTTTTTGGATTAATACGACCAAGCAGACACGAATTCTGCATCACTTCTGGAAGGAAACCATCAAAGTAAATCAATTTGCATCTTACCTGCATCTTGTTCAATATCCACGAATTCTTTCTCGCGTAGATTGCCGAGTGAAGTTCTAACCCTGGACAGTGCTTTCGTTTTTCCAAATGGGCGCTCAACATTACCCAGTAGGGAATACCATCTGTTAATTTGCATTTGCTGACCTCCCTATAAGTGTGCTTGACACTAGCCACTCATCTCCCCACAACCAAATGGCGCTATACATTCTACGTATTCAACATTCTAAAGCGAATGACAACTCCCACTTCTGGTTATCTGCAGTGATGGAAACAATTCCTTCTCAAAGGTTTTTGTTCAACAACCTGCAGATCAGCAAATGAAGTCTGTAATTTATATCGATGTTCATCACGTCAGGGAGAGAAGAACTTTCTGGGCAAAAAACAAGCAACAGACAGATTTCCAAAAGCGAGTGAGTCTTACGACATCAGTAGTCCAAAGACAACCACCATAGGTGATAATTAGTCTCCATCTCGAAACCACAGCAGCCTCTTCAAGTTATGTCTCCGAGTCATGGCAAGGTCGGTTCACTGTATCTCGAAAATCACACTCATACACCAACAAACTCATTGACCCTTAGAACCAGCACTGCTAAAATAACGAACCAACGGCTCTCGGAAATGAGGGTTCAAGGACGATAACCAAGGGCAAAATTTGTTGAGAAAAACTATTAAGCTCTTACTGCGTGCCAAAGGTGCAGTCATCTTTTCTTCAACTATGCTTGACGGGAATGATTTGAAAACTTCTTATTTTCTCCTAGAGTAAACTTGCATTTACCTAGGCCTTCAGATTTTCCTAATGGAGTCCATGTAAGCACCGGAAAGTATCGAGTTCAGCTTCATGATAAACGAAACATCATACCCAGAACAATCCCTAATAGATGTCACTGTGGCAATAACCACAAAATTTTCCCCATTCCCCACATCAATTTCATACAGATCATGAAAGACAGCCCTCACTTCGTTAATCATTGTTTCATAAAAAAACCTATTAGGAGGAATCACATTAATTACAAGAATTCCAAACGCGCAAAGGAGTGATCTGGCAGCCAGCAGAACAGACTTCCTCACAAATTCTAGAGGTGGAGCTACCAATCCAGTTCTGACATCACTTGAGTCCAAATCCACCATAATAACATCAAATTTACCATCAATACCATCAGCAACACTCAAATCACGACCATACTTGGCAACCAAAGTGCCCTCAGTTTTCCAGCTTGCAAGTCTTTCTATCAATTCTATTGCATCCCCAACTACAACACTCAAAAAGTCACCATCTTCAAGCCCAAAATACTGTTTCGCAACCCTCAAAACCACCTCATCAACATCTACTCCCAAGACCTCAAAACCCAATTGACCCCTTAAGAAAGCAAGCAAAGCACCACCACCGACACCAGCACAAAATGCTTTCGGCCTCAACCCCTTCCGAATCTGTTCATCGATGTGAAAACCAATCAATGATAGACTCGCCACCATGGGAGCCAAATATGGATGCACCAACACTCTAGCATCAATTCTGAATTGCATTTCCCCGATTGCCAAGCATCTCCCTGTCTCACCACGATCCTCTCGTGGTACGACACGAACTTGAGTCTGAACCAAATTCGGCATTCTTTTGAACCTCAATCTCCTTCTAAACTCCCTCTCTCCGCATCCACTGCCCCTCTCTATCTCCACATCTTCAACTAACATTTCGCCAACAAACTCACCAATGCACGCTTCAAGTATCACACTAGCGACCAAATCATCTTCATAGCTTAAGAAAGTTACCTCCGGCATTCCGCTTTCGAAGCAAATCCTCGGAGACAGAGCCAGAACCAGAGGCTTCAAGCTCTCTTCGAGACCCTCCCTACGCGACCGATCGCGTTCCATCTGGCGGCGGAAACCGAGACCGGAACCGCCCCCATCGACTGGTTGCTCGCCGATGAGGATGAGGCGAGAGAGGCCGGGCGAGCCGAGGAGGAGCTGGAGGTGGCCGGACTCGGTGGAGAAGATCCAGTCGCGCTCGCGATGGGAGGGGACGAGCATGGCGGCGACCCGGGGCGAGGCGGGCGGCCGGATGGGGGAGTCCAGGACGGCGACCCGGAGGAGGCGGTGGCCGGTGGCGGCGGAGGGAGAAGAAGGATCGGGGAATGTGAAGGCGACGAAGCGCGAAGGGACGAGGGTTTCGAAGGTGGACCTGTCCAGAGCCATTGGTGGTGTTCAGAACCAAAGTGGTTAGCGCCGTTGGCAAAACCAGATTTCTCTTTATTTATTGAAAACATAGTGTATTTGGAATTTTACATAAAAGATAAAAAAATATCAGGTTTTATATAATAATTCCAATCAGCTTAATTAGATTTTATCAATTTAGGCTCCGTTTATTTCGCGAAAAATAAATGATTTAAAAAATATTTTTCTTAAAAAAATCGCATAAATTACTTCAAATATTTAGTCAATAAAAATTCGGATCGCGTTTTTTCTATTCCTAATTTGGCTAAAAAGTTCCCTTGATGTCTTTTTTTGGTTTCTTCGCTTGCGGTCCGCGTTTTTTGATCTTCATCATTCTCTGTTTTTTTTTTTGTTGCAGTTAATCCTTCCACGCTTTTTGGTAAAACATGGTATCTTCTGGCGAATTGAGGATACAGAGCGCGAGAGTTGGAGAAGGAGTTACGGTTATAAGGTGGCCTTCGAGCTGCGATTTTTCGCTGAGGTATGTATCGTCGCACTTGAGGTTCGCATATGAGACGGAGAGGATCCATCTGTACGATCTGGTGGAGCCAATGCGGTACCTATTCATAAAGGTTGTCAAGCCGCGAGGTCTCGCCCACAATGACAACCCCTACGTGAAGATCCACACGTTGACTCACTGTGTCCATTCAAAGCCAGCGATTCACTGCCTCGGCAAGCCGACTGGCTCGTCGGGGTGGCATCAGTTCTGTACGCTTGGCCACAACAAGCTAAGTCGGCGAGCTCCACGCTGGAGATCTCTGGGACTCGTTGTCAGAGACCTTCCTCGGCGGCGTCTGCTTTGACCTCTCCAATTGAATGGTGAGCTTTGATCGAGCAGCGAATAGAAGAGAGGCACATGGCAGCCAAGTGGTTTGCGCTCGACAGCGGTGGCAGTGGAGGCAGGTCTTACTGCGGCAAATCGTATTCGAGGCTGTGCTTGGAAGGCGGTTATCACGTGCTTGACGAGGTGGCGCACGTGTTAAGTGACTTCCGGCTCGCTGCTGTCCTAGTCCACGTCTTGTCTTGTCTCCGGTGCTCGTGTGGTACCTGGATTTGATCTTGCGTACCGAGTTCTTTTACGTGTTCTTGATTGAAGTGGGGTACTATAGATTCAGGTGAGGATACCTGCCAGGATGGTCACCAGTTCTTCTGCACACCAGTTCTTCTTATGCCTGTTTGGATATTCCATGCTTACTTAAGTTTTGGAGCTTGTATAATGTGTCACAATGAAATTGCAAGATCACTCAAGCTACAAACAAGTCAATATATTCATTCTGATAGGATGTGCATCTTCTTTTGTATTTTGTTTTTACGCTTCTTCATAAGTAATGCTTCTCTATTGTTTTCATTGTGATTCCCAATTTAAACTGCACCGAAGCTTTTAACAAACGTATAAATTGCAAACTCTGTTGGGTTTGAAATGATGATTCGAAGAAAAATATTGAGTCATGATTGATGGAGTTCGATGGCTTGTCTTTGACGGACGGATCCTCTCCGTCTTGGACTCGAATCTCAGGTGTGGCGATAACTACCGTGGCAAGAAATCGCCACTCAGAGGTCGTCTCAACCCCTGACTCTCTCCCCAACTCTATCGGAGGATACCATGTTTCACCGAGCGCGTGAAAAGAAGAAAATTGCCTCCAACAAAGAGAAGAGAAGGATGCAGATTACAGAAAGTGGGACCCACAAAAGAAGACACCAAAAAAAAGGACACCAAGGGAACCGATAGGCTGCTGAAATGTAGAACCCATGATAGGTAAAATGGTCACAATACTATATTGGAGAGTGTTTTAGCAAAATTCTTGTCTACAATGAAAATAACTTTATTTTTGTATCAATTCAGTCATTCATTTTCCGTGAAGTAGACGGAGTTAAGTAATTAAAAAGAACAATTTTCGTTAAACAATCTTTATAACTGTTGGCATGAACAATATTTTAATTTCCCCCATATAACTTCTTTACAAATTTAAACAAGTACGCTACATAGCTATATAACCCTTCAGCTTGATCCGAATGATACCCAAAACTCTAGGCAAACATTTACAAATCTTTTGACAAATTTTTTTTTTATTAATCTAGCTGTTTTGTCCAGTCAAATGGTTCCCAATCTTGCATGAAACTCGCGACCGCTTGCTTCTGTGTGTCCGCAGATTCGGACCTACGGCGCCGATGCATGTCTTCCTCGGGCAGACGCATCATCCCCCTGATCACGTTGAGGCCGAGGCTGCTCTTGAAATCCTTCTCGTCATCGATCACGTGAACGAAGCCCCTGTTCAAGCCGAACTCCACGTGGAAGTACGGGAAGTCCTTTGGGATGGAAGCCCGCAGCCCCTTCGCGCTAGTGTCGATGAGTTTCTTGGCGTTGTGCTGGCTCCACTCATCTTCAGCTTCGTCGATTGCCTGAAACAAGGCCGTGGTTAGGGACGAGAAAGAGCACTCAGATGATTATAGTCCATGTCTCAGCAACAAAGAAACAGAAGTTCATCCGTATTAAGCGCGAGCTTTTAAGTGGGATCATAACGAACATGAGACCCGCCCGAAGCACGATTGAATGAAGATGGACAGAAAGGGTCCGAGCATATGTATGGTTCACATGCAAGTCAATCTCAAACATAATCGCATGATGATATGTGACCGATGCTTTCGTTCATCAATGCGGTAGCTCTTTTACAAACATGAGAATTTCTAAGCCAGGTCGGCATCCTGTGATTTCTAGCTTGGTCAAATACAAAAGGGACCCGGGGGCAAAGAAGCAAAGAGAGCATCAAGACAGCAATACAGATATATTTAGAAGCAGCGTGCCAATTGTCAATTACCTTTTTGAAGTAAAGAGGAGCGTCCGTTGCGACTTCTCTCGGTAACGGAAGGCACTCGATCAAACAATGGCGTCGTTGCTGTGCCAAACCCATCACCGTCTCAAGAAACACAAGATCCTTCTCTTGCTTTCCAAACATCATAATTAGGCACTTCTTAAAGTTCCGGATCTCTTCCCACACATTATCATCGACAGTTCTTGTGGATGATTCATGCTGAAATAATAATGATTCATCAGTAAGGTCTCAGAATGAAAAGATCGTTGCAAACAAAAGAGCTTGACAAGCAAGTTATACACGAGAAGAAGTGATTTAGGCAATTTGAGGTACATCCATTAGCAATAAATGCACCAGGCGTATGACATGAATTACTCTGACCATGCCCAAATGCTGATAAAGCCAGGCCTAGAGGTGACTGCACCTAAGTTGTATTGATGACTGGCAACAATATTTCAATTCCATTCAGGACTCTCCTAAATAAGTAAAGAGTCCTATCTAGGCCTCCTTGTTGACAAATGAATGGTTGTCCACAAGGAGCAACAGTATTTCCAGGTATTACATATACAGGCTCTTATAATAATAGAAAGCACCACCAAATCTTAACAAAATGTAGAAATTGTGATCAAAGTGCAAGGAAAGCACACCTGCATTGTGACTATGCAGCAATGGCCGGGCACAACAGGCTTCTGCATTGGCAACATCAAGTATGTGAAATTCGCAATTGAAACAACTAGATGTCTTGGTCTATTTGGATTCTCAAAGCAGTAAAAGCAGCGTTCCTGCTGAGTCAAGATGCGCTTTGCCAAAAAGCTAGTCTGGGTGGCCTTCTGTTCATTGCTAGCCCCTTTCTTCTGAGACCTTTTCCTTGGGGGACCATCAAAATCATATTCATCATCTGCTTGGCCTGAAGTGCTAAAACGCCTATTTTGCATTATTGTTTTAGCTAGATGCCTGTCGGCATCCTCCTCCTCCTCCTTCTGCTGACGAGATACATCATATAAAACATTCCTGGACACAAATCAAAGTGGGAAAGACATATCATATACATGAATGACAATATTAATTGATCCAACATATGATTTACCAATATCCATACAGAAAAAGAGGAAGAAAGGTGTGGCAGCGAGATAAAAAAATCTTTCTCCACTTCAGCTAATAAAATCCCACTCCCACTAATTTCATCAGCCACTTTTTGTTTTTGCTTTTCCTTTTGTAGTCAATCATAGATGAAAGACAGCAGGATGGACCTCAAATTTGATGTAGAGAGCAAAACAAGAGCAGACAAAAGCATGATAAACTCTCACCTGTTTGTGCCTCCCTCATTCTGTGATTTTAGTGAAGAATCACTAATAAGCTGCTTATTTCTCAAGTTCTCCACTTCTTGCTGGCATAGAGGGAAAATCGAAACAATTGCATGTTAGTGTCACTGGTTGACTTGGAAAAAAGAAGAAATGCAATCTTTTGAGTACCCTCTTAAGGCATGTTTATTGTACAGATCAGTAGATCCACTCATAATTTACAACTCACCACACTGCACTCTAATAAACCACCTTAATGATTGCTCTAATATAAATCAAGATGGCAACAATAATTTGGTTGACTGCAGGAACTCAAATGATATATGCAGAAAAAAATTAAACATTAGGCTCCCCCCGAATAACTGAAAAACAACAACGCAATTCCTAATCCATTTTGCAAGTTACCACATTCATCATCAGAAAAAACTGACATGTGGTTATCTTTGAAAAAACGTAGCAGACTTTCTGAGAAATAAGCAATGGCTTGCGGGTTATTGACTTTGCAAAAGAGGAAATTCACAAAAATCTAACAATCTTTTAACTACATAGTACATACACAAAAATCATAGATGATCTCCATGCAAAGTTCATTAATCCCCTGGTCAACCCATTGATTAAGTCCTCTACAACTTTATACTTGTCCATCTTACAATTCAAGTTTCAGGGCAAAAGAAGAAAAGAAAAATAACGGATGAAAGCTGTCCATCTTATATGCTTGTTCTGAAACAATCCCTGCTACAGAATTGGGAAAATAAACAAGCAGGAGCCTCTAGGCCTTCTTTCATCCAAAATAAGTCCTGGATGTTGACATGTTGTTTCCAACATTTAGTTTCAAAGAGGAAGCAAGCATAAAGTGTTACATGTAAAACAATCATGGCAAGAGACATACAACTCATTCACGTTTCTCCCCATCCCTGCTCACATGACAAATATCAAGCAAGCATCTGTGGACTCCCTCGTCATTAAATCCCTTACAGCGCAATTGTCTCCACACATGAAAAATTGCATGAGCATACTTATGAAAAAGCAAACAGGGAAAGAGAAGAGACTGCATGCAACCTTCAGTTAAAAGAGCTAAGAGTTAAAATATACAATCAGAATTTGGAAATATCAACTAACCAATAGTTTTTCAGCTTCGTCGTGCTTTCCTTTCATACGAAGCTGCAAAGCCTTAGCAGCCAACTGGTTTGCACTTAACCCCTCATTCACTTGTGTAATTGCTTCGCGAGGCTTATTTTCTTCTAACATATCCACTTTCCTGCGATGTGCAGGTTGTGAAGATGAAGAATCACCAGATACGTTTCTCTGTTGACCAAGAGTTGTTTGCATGAAGCTTCCATCATTAGAGTACTTGTTTAAATTGGACATGGCGGAAGAAATGAGCTCGGCATCAGCATCCCTGGCAGATAGATTTTGACCTCTTCGCTTTCTCCATGATAATGAGTCATCAACTTTTGGTACCCGCATGTCAGGATTGCGAAGAGAGACATCCTTCAAATAGTTTCGTGTATTCTGATAATCCCCAGAAAACAGATTATGAGACTGTTCTTAACGTGCTTGAAAGGGCTCTCATAATTCAAATTTAAAAATTCAAAAGGATACTAGTAAAAAGAAGAACAGGAAAAGCAATTCCGCTCTTCATTTATGGCAGATACCTTCTTAGTGTTGCCATCTTCTTCATTCTGGCCAGCTGTTTGTTGCTCTTCCATTACCCCTCTCCTTCTGTTTCTTATAGAATCCAAATGAGCACGAGAAGGAGCAGCTCTATGAGAAGCAGCAGAAACCGCCAGATGACCCAGGGACCCCCAACGTTCAGCCACAACCTGCACAGTGAAATTGGACGAGAAGTTCAGAACTTGTTTCTAAAGTTAAGGCCTATGCTTGCAACAGGTGGATACCTCCTCAATATTTCGTCCGTCCCTAGCTGCCTGCTCTTTCGCTCGTTTTAAAGCTTTCAGCCTCCAACTCGCGCCTCCATCCCCGATAACTGATGAAGGCATAAGCCGGTCTCCACCAGATTTTGGTTCATCTTCTTCTGGATAACCACTCCCATTATTCTTTAGATAAGGATTTAACTCCCTCGGATTTGCCTTCATTGCCTGGTGGAGCAGCAGATCATATACATTAAAAAATAAAAACTTTAACCAGCAAACACAAGTAACAAGTGAACAACATGCATCAGATAGATAGACATAGGCATAAGCAGGTTAATCATTCCAAAATGAATTGAATCTAAATGAACGACCAACTCAAAAATAAATAGAGTGATTGCATAATTGCAATCTATAAAACACCCAAATATCAGAACAAAAAACCATCTTCCAAAATGATAGAGGACCGCAAAATAATAGGAAGGCAACGCAACAAGCTGGACCATCCCCCACTAGTGAATGTTCAATATAGTTTCAAGTATACATATTTTGCTCGTAGAATGAACCGAAGCTCATTCCAAAATTAAACTGAAATTCTTATACCCAGCCAATTGATGATTCTCACTTACAAAGAACTTCTCATGATCAAGTCATTTTCCACCCTCATCAAGACAAACCAAAAGCCATAGAATTACAAAGGGCAGAAATTGTAAATAGTTAGGCTGGATAGACACTGTGGCCCATTTCCTAGCATAAATTTGGAAAACGGTAAAAATCAAAAGGTATCGAAGCACAGGTTCATGGTAACAGAGCACAAGCAAGAATTCAATTCTTTTTACCCCGTCAAATTGTTATTCTATCAATTTTCGAGGTATTGTGCTCTAGACTCCAGTTATCTGTTGGATGTGGTGCCCATCACATCCAATGTTTCACATGTAAACCGAGCATTATATGTTAAGGGCAGTGTTTAAGAGATGCCAAATATGGATTATGGTCACTTTGAAGAAAACAGTGACTTCAAACGCTACAATGTTATGGTAAAAAATGCAGTTAGCTAAATTCTACACATGAGGCAACCCCACCCTATCTCTTAATTTAGACAGCCAAGTGGATCTATTCGGCATCTCAATAGAAAGTTTAGAATGATCTTTTCTTAAAAGATGTAGAAGAGGATATAATGTGTTTTAGGTACCTCTTCATTCGCAGTTTCCAACGGCTCTATATCAACAGTTATTGGTGGGCTTCTCTCAGTCTTCTGTTCAGGCCTCAGCATCCATTCTAACCCCATTTCTCTCCTCACAATTTTCTGGTCATCAAAATCACCCTCGACTGCGTTCTGCTCAGCTCCTTCCTTCCCCTTTTTCTGTCCATCTTTCTTACTACCTTTCCGATGTTTCTCTTTCCTAGCATCACCGTCGAAGCTATCGGATTTTTCAGAACCTGAAGAAGAAGAAAAATCCTCATAAGTCTTCCTACCACTTTTGCTTTTCCTCTTCCTGCTCTTAGACCCACCATCCGATTCTTTAGCATCAATCTTCTTCTTCTTCTTTTTACGGTCATGACGACGCCTTCTTTCGTCTTGCGGGGAGTTGTCATTGCCGCTTCCACTTGAACCAGAAGACGAATACTCCTCAGAGGAGTACCACTTCTTCCTCCTAGACGCCTTCCTTATTTGCTGGAGCTCCTCATCATCTGAACTCTCGTATCGAGAACCTTTCTTCTTTCTACTGTATTTTTCCTTCCTACCGCCGGATCTCCTCCGGCCCTCTGCTGCAGAATCCGAGCTTTCACCCTGTCTCTGGTACGAAAATGCCGATAAAAACATAGGACAACGGCAAGCAATCAGTCTCCTTCTCGACACAAAACACCGAAACTCAAAATGTAAGAATAAGAAAAACGAAAGGATAGAGAGGCAAGACCTCATCAATCTGGTCACGAGGAATGAATTTGACTCCGGACAGCATCGTTCCCACTTCACTCCTCCCGCAGCACTAAATTCGTCTAAAAATAAGGAAAAAATCGCGCTTGTCAGGCATCATACACCGTTCTTTTTTCCGTTCATCTGCTGCACTGAAGATCAAGCATTCCAAATACTGAAAAACAATCGAAACGGACACACACGAAAAGCACATCGCTCCATTTGAAATTTCCAAATTCACAAGGATCAGCAGCAAAAAGGGCAAAAGATTGAGGAAACGCAATCAAAACCACACGAACCCTAGAGCACCACGCGTCGCCCCTTATCGAGCTTCCATCAATTCAAGCCCCAATCGCATTCAATGCGAAACTGTCCCCGAGCTCAATCTCGCCAGAAAATCAGAACAGGGGGACGAGGAAGCGGAAGCGGAAGCCAGAGTGATCGAATCGAATACCTGGAGCCTCCGCGAAACTGCACGTCGAAGCGGAAGCGGAGGCGGAAGATTGAAGAGAAGGCGGCGGCGAAACCGGAGAAGTAGGCGGCGGAGAGCCGGGCGTTCTCTCTGCCAAAAACGCAAGAGCCAAATCTGCGTTTCGATGCTCGGAATGTTCGCTAGTCGGTTTGAGAAATTGGGATTGATTTTGTGACTTTTGATTATAAAAATTTAGGAGTTAAAATATTTTAATTTTTTTTTTGGCCGAAAAAAATATTTAATTTGATGATTAACCGGAATTTAAATGAGGCATGCTACGTATTAGCTTGGCTTAGTGTCGCATCAAATAAGATTTGATTTTCAAGTCGGACCGACTTGAGTTGATCGGCGATTTTAATATGCAATGCGACCTATTCGCATTCTGACTTGACAAGCTATTAAGCCTAATTCACGAGGTCAATTCGACTGAGCCTTGCTTGAAGAGATGGCAGCTCGCTTGCTTTAAATTTCCCGTACCATTACTCTCGAGCAATCAATTAAGTCAAGAATATGACATTAAAAAGTAGACCTATTCAGAAATCTCCGGATTTATGTAATCCCCAATAGTATAATAACTCTTTCCACGTTGAAAAATGCATCTTGGATGATGTAAAATATATATAAATTGGAAACCTTTAGTTTTTTTATTTTTATAGTACCCCCTCGGAAAATAGTCTCTGAGATTAATCTATTGATCATGATTAGGCAAATTAATTTCGGTGACACCATATAAATCCTCCACAGTTTTTTTTTTTTGCTTATTAATTCTATGCTTTTGAATTAGCTTGCTTTTCTATAAATACGTACTTTTGTGTTGTTAATACGAGATCGGCTAATCACATTAGAATTGCACACCAATACTTGCGGCACAGGCAATTCGACAGAAACCGATCAAATGTGACGAAAACATGAACTCAAGTGGTTTGAATGAATCGACGGCAACAGATGACTTGAGCCAAAAGCGTTTGACTAGACTCGTACATGATTTCTGCAGAAGTAACGGTACAATAACAGAGCACAATAGCAGCATCCTTGTGCTCTACACAGAGAATGGAATCGAAGTGTTCCTCGTATTAATCACCTCAGGATACAACAATTCTGAGAGCAAAAGCCCCTCCAAATGAATAATTATTATTATTATTATAATAATGATGATGATGATGGTATCTTTTTTTATATATTTTATTTTTAATCTGTGTGCTAAGGCTAAGAGATGGGAACGAACGTGCCCACATAGCCAATCCCAGCAACAAAGAAGGCGAAGGACTGAAGGAAGAGGTAGACGAAGTAGCGGTTCTTGCCGTGAGCCAAGTCGCAGCATCCACAGATGAGGAGATAGGCTCCAACGCAGAGCTCCGCCACATGGACTCTGTTCATCACCAAGAACAAGGTATGAAATGGATATAATGAATCAGATGTTACTCAAACATGTACTGATGTATATGAACGGGTTTTGGCTCTTGGGGTGTGATATTGGCTAGTGTAAGCTGTCACCTTTGTCCGATCCAAATGCGAAGCCTTCTGTGAGCGTTGCCCGGCTTCGTCTTGAGGGCGTCGCCTAGTTTCCGGGTGACGACCCACTCGTTCACTCGACTCGCCTCCAGCAGCCCGATGAAGGTCGCCTTGGTCCGGTGCAGCGCCATCACATTCTCGAACAGGACCCAGAACATCAGCAGATGGAGTGACCTGCCAACATATTGTGCACACCCCATCACATTCTCGAACTCGGATTCTCTGATTGATGGAATTATCGATCATGTGCTGATGTAAAGGGCCGAGAAGTCGACCGCGGGATGTTTTTCACAGCCTTTAGCATCATAGTTGTCAGATGGTTTCATTGAGCTTGGATCTAGTAATAATGCGCGAAATCAATGAAGGGCTGTGCGGGTAGAAGTGACCTTGGAGTACCAACTGAATTGAGGAGAGTGACAGTGCAGGGGATATAGACAGCGCCCCATTTGGGGACTTCTACTTCTGGAACCAGCACGGTCGCCGGCATGACGATGCAATAGAACCCGAATGTGACGATGTGGGCCACGATCTTCCGGACGAAGAAAAAGCTGTATATCACGTAGAACTTCTTCCACAAGGAGACTTTCTGCGAAAGCATAAAAGAAAAAAAAATAGTAAGTCTTATTAAGTCAACTCATACCCTTGGATCAAAAGATTACAGGTGTGTAAAATTTAACCTTGTTCCTGAGGATTTCCACCGCCATTTTCCGGAAGAGATTGGCAGGGCCACAAGACCACCGATGCTGCTGGTAGCGGTATGCCCTGAACGTACTTGGCAATTCACTCTTCACCTGCAGTCGAATAAAAAACTATGATAACAATCTTGTGGTGAACTTAAGACAAAATTAGCGGATGACTTGTGACCAAATCAACTGTAAATGAACCTGGTTGAAGTTCCTTATATGGGGATAATTGAATGATAGATGTAGAAAGAACAGTGTGGTCCAAAAAAGGACAGCAAAAGAGAGTGTAATAGATGCACACGGTTTATGTTGTGACAGTAATAAAATATGCTTGGAAAACACTCCCCAGATGCATATGGTTTGCTTGTTCGAGCAGTGAGTGACCAGGTCACTCATTGTGGCCCAGCATAGAGTGCAGTGACAACCACCAGATGGACAATTTGAAATCATTGCTCTCTCCTGCTTTTCTTGTGCCAATATACAGGAACTTCTCCAATTTCAATGTGGCTTTCTTGGCAAATTGGGTTGCATTGATAAATCCCATTCATGGCTAGTCACTCCTCCACTACTTTTCACTTCCCCAAATGAGAAACCTTACTCTTCTAGCTCCATTTTGGTAAATCTATACTGAGAACTTTTGTTACGTTCAGTTATACTAATTGTACTAACTGTCCCTTTTTACTTATCCGCTAAAACTTTTCTAGATGATCTCCCCAATGGATGCTTAATTACAGGCGAAATGGCACCTTGAGGTCACTGACATAGACGAATTTCCATCCTTTGAGACTAGCCCGCACAGCCAAATCCATGTCCTCGACGGTCGTTCGGTCTTTCCATCCTCCGGCCTCATTCAGAGCGGAGATCCTCCACACGCCCGCCGTCCCTGGATTAATCGCGTGGTCAAACATCTTGAAACTTAGGCAACGATACGAAACAACAATAACGCCATACATGTCTAATAGAGGTAACATAATGCTAACAAAAAAATGATGAACTAACCGTTGAAGCCGAAGAAGGCATAGGTTGCAGAGCCCACTTCCTGTTCCACAGTGAAATGGTAGTCTAGTGACATTTCTTGCATCCTCGTCATTAAGCATTCATCAGAATTCACTGCATCACCATCAAGAAAAATGTTGTCCTACGAGACTATCAAATGTTCCAGAGTTGGATAAATGTATCGATGTAATGTAATAGCCATTGTCGCTATGGAGCGAAAAGTTCTTTGAGACGAAGAAGAGAGAGCACTGTCAGCTGCAAAGCAGTGAAATGAGAAGTGGCGAAAATCGATTTTATTGCAGCATAATGGCGAGAGATCTGTTAACTCAAGGCTATTCTTCTCAATTCCTCTACTATTGGTCTATCCGTACTGCAAAGCTTTATCTAGAAGAACAACTTCTCAGTCATGCTGTGTTAAATATCTACTTTTTCTTGTTATTGACCATATTTGCTTCAAAGGTCACTTTTACATAAACTTTCTCTTTTTCGATTACTAATAAGTGATGATGGCTACGTAAGTCACCAACTACATTCATATACATACGTAGGCATCCATGGGCAAGAGGCATCAAGAAAGAGGAGAATATGTGTAACTTACCGAACTTCCACCGAGTTTGGACGAGCCCGATTTTGGGGTTGTGGACTAAGAAGGGTATGGTCCGGCACAGAAAATCAGGCTCGGGTTGGAAATCGGCATCGAAGATGGCTACATAGTCGCATTGCTTGACATAGCCGTGCTTCATGCCTGCTCTGAGTGCCCCGGCTTTGTAACCTTTCCTGTTGTCTCGAATCTCATACTTTATGTTGATGCCTTTGCTCGCCCATCTTTGGCACTCTAGTTTCTTTAGCTCCTGCACAATATTCAGTTCAACCAAAAAGGCGGAAAACAGAATTCAGATGTCAATGAAACGGGAAAGGGGTAATTTTGCTTTTGGCGAAGTAGATCAACAATAGTTTTCAGGATCTAATTCAAAACAACTTTATGGGGACCATGCAGGATCAACAGGGGAAAGAAACTCAATGATCTTTCATCTCTTTGAACCGTGGGAAATTAAGCATAGTTACTTGTAACAATATGACTCTTTTTTTACCAATGCTTTGGGATAGGGACTTGACTGCTAATTAGAGCTAGAAAGTGCAATTTTGAGGTAAATGTGCAATACATCAAAAGGAAGGACCAGGGCCATATGAATGACACATGTTTTGTGGAGTCTCTTAAGCCTTCTTGTGAACATTCTTGTAGTATAACTGGTCAACATCATGCTCGAATAGACCCAAAAGACAATAAAAACAGAAGTTGACATAAGAATGAGTTGCTTATTAGCCTAGCAGAACCTTAATAGCCGGATCCGTCGAATCGTCAAGAACTTGTATTATGATCCGATCAGCCGGCCATGAAAGCCCACATGCAGCTCCAATGGATAGCTGGTAAACCTGCCAAGAAAACCAACTATTAATCATTAAAGAAAACCATTTAAATTAGACACTAATAACCTCTACATGCCCTTAATTAATTTTTGCAGAAAAGCATTAACCGTGTATGCATGGAGAGATTGGAAAGTAGCGAAAAGGCTTCAACGCCTTAAATTTGCATGAAAAAGAACGTCTCTTTATTAACACACATCAGAAGACTAATGAGGAAAGGTTGAATCTTTACAAGAAGTAAACAAAGAGATCCAAAGAAAGGGAATTTGTCGTATACCTCTTTCTCGTTGTACATGGGGATTTGCACTAGCACCATGGGATAAGCTGAGCTCCCAGCCTCGATGTCGTCCCCCATTGCCTCCCACTTGTACTGCTTCTTGGATCGCCGCCGAAGCAGCTTGATGAAGAAGATAACGATCCCCATGTAAACCCTCTCCACAAACAGCATTGTGGACATCACCAAGCACACCGCCACCAAGACCTTCAGCAATGGAACTATCAGAGGTTCTCTAGTCTGTTGCCAGACCAGTCTGAT